CAGCATTACCTCGTTCCCTCAGGCACAGTGGGGAGATGCCAGGAGGCACCTAGCCATTTGACAGACTGAGTATTTCATTGCAAAGTTATTTTTACTCCATTGATCAGAGCCTTACAAGAATATTGTTTTGAGCCAGAACAACAAGCTCCCAGGCAATCATAGCCCAGCTTAACACCGTGTCCCTACGGAGCAAACTGGACAGCTGTGTCGGACCTTTTGACAATCACAATATCAGCCTGTGACCCATTTCCGATACACACTTGTATATACACACTCAGAATTCCCTGAGTTAGAGTTAAGGCAGGTGAGGTTTCTCTTTAGGCCTTCAAGCAATATTTCCGTCTCTCTCTCCCTCCCTCTCTCTCGCTGTAATCCCAGTGACAATGCTTTCTACCAGGGTGTCTTTGATATGGAGATTGACAGAGAGCAGGAAAAAACAGAGAATGTCGACCCGGAGACTTTTTTCCAAACTCCAGAACAATGAAGGTGGATTTTGAGGAAAACACGGACAAGAGAAAAAGAGCTACCAAGAATGGGAACTCTTGGTGGGGTGAAACATTATAGACCTTTTATGAGGAGGTTATGCTTTTGTTGTAGACGGTGACAAGAGATTTTCAGAGCAGCAGAGATGGAGACCCTGCCCAGCATGCTAATGGCAGGCTAAAGCTGCGTTCACACATACAGAAACAAAGTGGAAGGTCTCTGGCCTCTCATGAAGCTGTAACTATGTGAGTGTGTTATGCTGAGAACATAATTTCCATACCCTCCTCCGACTGGACAATTGTGTTCTGACATAGCCGCCATACTATACACAAGGAACTTGTTAATTTCTTGTTCTGGAGTTTGTTTTCCGATTACAGATTTTTTTCTAACACAGTGTGCGTTGTTGAAAGTGTTTTTAATAGCTCTTTATAGCTCATTGCATGGCGTCCATTAGTGTAGTTAGATAGACAAAGTCCCTGGGCTGAATTGGGAACATTGTCATTCATCGTCAGCGACTTAAAGGTACCTTGTGAAGTTTTTGTCCACTTGTAGCGCTATAGCAGCAATGCTTTACATGTGGGCTCCTGTTTTGTTTATTCCTGTGCACAAGTACAGTATGTGCATGCAAAGGACTATAACACTGAATGCACATCCCTGCTATTGGTTTTATACTATTTTACCGGTCGACAGGTGGAGGTAGTGCTGCAGGAAATACAGCAATGGCAAAGACAGGGTAGGAGAAGACTACTAGCAAATAAAACTGGATGTAAACAATGTTGGTTTGTTACTTTTAAGAAAAGTTGATTTTCCAAACATTTTATGTAGAAGAAAATGAATTTGTTTGTTAGACCTTAATGACTCACACAATGATTTTGGTGAGTAACACTGATTTAAACATAGTTTGTTTTCAGGAAAACTCCCCAGGCTACTGAAGCTCCATCACAGCATCCCTCCACTACTTTTTTTCCTTTTTTTCTCTTTCACTCTTTTATGTGTGACGCTTTAATTTCTCTCTTTTTTTATTGTCTTATGCAGTATGTGGTATGTGTGCGTAATAGTTAGTGTCTGAATGTGTGTGCATGTCTGTCTAAAATGTGGTCAATATGAAGTTGCATAATGTGGTCATCCATCACTAAGCATGTGTATGTATGTATATGCACACCAATGATTATTTGTGTGTATGTGTGTGTGTGTGTGTTTGCCTGCATGTTTGTGTGTGTCCTTCGGGCGGTATTGGCTGATTTGGACCACTGAGAGTTGCCTAGACTTGGATCTGAATCCAAACCTTTTGGCACAACAAACACCACCACTCTCTGTAGGAACAATCCAGCAAATTATGGTTTTATTACCTGCTCTTTGACATGCACACACACATAGACACACACACACAGGCAGATGTACACAGTGCAGTAATTGTTTCATGCGCTGTATGATTATGTGAAAGCTGAGATCCCAATTTGTCTTTTCTTGGAGCTTGCAGAGACTTTACCCTCCCTGAGACCTTGAAAGACTAAATATGTAGCTCCTCAGTGTGGGAGCCCCTGGCTGCCTTTTGTTTTGTTATGTTTTTGACCATAGCATATAGTAATCCATTTAGTGAAGGGTAGATCTGTCTGAGAGCCCAAGGTGACGCCTCACAGTCACTCAAAGCAGCCATGTCCTTAATTATGCATAACTTTAAGCCTTAATAAAAATTTAAATGGGTGAGTTATATAAAAACTCTGTACAGCTTTCATAAACGTGGGAAATTAACTATAGAGGCCCAAACTATTATTTGTTCCAGGCTGTGAACATGTTTATTTCTACTGTTAAGTTCGACATTTTAACATGGAGGTCTGAGGGGACTGAATCGCTCCTGGAGCCAGCTTCAAGTGGCCATTTGAGAAACTGTCGTTTTTGGCACTTTTGCATTGGCTTCATTTTTCAGCTCTGGAGGTTGCTGCTTGACCAAAATCAACAATGGGTTTATCCAAGTAACAACTATTGGGTGTGTTTAAAAGCCCGATTTATCTTCTTCCTCTGTGCCATGGAGCTCCATTGTTGTTAAAAGCACATTCATGAGCCACGCTGTTGCACTGGCTGATATGTTCCTTTATTACCATGAACACACACATTGTACAGTAGTTTATTTTGACTCAGTCCCACATACACCATCCTGCCGCACCAAATGCTAAATAGAGCACCACATTTGGATTAATCCACTGCTGAAAATAGTCCCCAACAAATGAACTGTTTCCTCCTGTTTGAGTAAGGTTCGCTAAAAACTACACAGCCATTGATGCTTAAATTACTACTAAATTCTTGAAGAAACACAGCTTTGTATATACTGAATTTGTGAACTGTTTTGAAAGATTTTTTTTTTTCCTCAGTCAATCATAATTTATGACCCACAGAATTGAGTGATGATATATTTATTTGCAGAGCCCCTGCCTTCTGCCTGTATTTTGTTCTTATTTTGCTATGTTTGGGAAAACTCTGGGCACATTGTGCAGGTGAGGTCCGGACTTTATAGAAGGGTAGCTGTGGAAATCATGACCAGAGCACCCAAAAAATACAAACGGACAAAGTTCGTTCCAAAACGAGAGTGAATCTGACCTTGGCTTTCATTTTCACTTTGCAGATGTCTACAAACGATAATCTACAATTTCTGCTTTTGCACGTTTCTTATGTGATTTTAAACATCTAATAATTTGATAGTAGTTTTTTTTTTTTTTTTTTTCTTTTGATTGAATTTCAAAGGGGAATTTTCTTGTACAGAAGCTGCTGCTTGTTTATATTTTGCAGGCATGAGTGAAATGAAAATGTGTTGTCTAACATAATGATGCACCACTCATTGTTTGCTCCAGGAATTAATTCTTGTCAGAGTGAAAAAAAGACTGTCAAAACTGTCTTTTGACTATCATGGAAAAATTGCCCGAGGAAATCAAGCATTCTGATAATCTTAATGACAATAAAACAAACTCAGGCATACTCGTATTTGGAAACTGATTAAAATGTCTCAGGAGGATCAATCCAGATGAAGTGCTTCCCATAGACAGCCAGTGCAGTGCTGATCAAATCTGCACAAACTATGTAGTCAAACCAGTGGAGCATATCTGCTGTTTAATATTGCCCACATGTAGCACTAATCCTATGTTGTTCCTGTTTTCACAGCAAATGCCACTAGGCTTTTTTTTTTCATCCGCGACATCACTCTGGGGAAGATAATGGGGGGTTGGGTATTTAATAGAAAATGCCACATCCATGTGATTTTCTGTCTCAGTGAAAGAAGAAGAAAAAAAGGCACTCTACTAAATAATTAAACAGAGACCCATGTCATGTTATTTTGGATGTGTTTGTATCAAGCTGCTTCACTTCGCTGTACTTTTACCCTGAAACTGACAAACCCCAAATGAATGTCAGGATGGGATATGCAGTAGATGGCTGGAAGGGACAAGACTGGCTGTGTGTTTGAAATGTCTCAAGTGTGTGTATTTCTCATCCCATGCATGCGAAAGCAATAAATACAGAGTATGTGATGTCCTGACCATCATTATTGTTCCTTTAAAAGATAATACAACAGATTATTTTGTGTTTTAGAGACACAGCTTAAGAGAGGTGTGCTGCATTCTCAGCATCTCTATAAAGGATCAGCCAAACAAGATTGGAATTCTTTTTCCTGCAAATGACCCAACATCGATTTTGTATTTCAATTTCTCCCTCGTTGCTTGGGAATGTGAGAGATCAAGAGATTTAGAAAGAGGCACATTACATTTATATCTGTAAAGCCAGTCAGCATGGCAAGTGATGTTAATGAAATGTGGGTTTTCTTCAACAACTAATTACATTCTTTTGTGCCAGCACATTTGTATGGAGGTTGGACAGAGTTATCTGCCTTGGCTAAACACACACACAAAGACTCCCAAACACAAATATGCACATGCGCAAACAGAGAGTGGGGCCATTTAACATTCAGAAGACGCTAAATGCCAAGGTTACCACATCGATACACAATTGATTTTTGCACACTCCAGCTTGTGAGTCTGGTCTCACACAGGCACAACATATAGGCAACTCTGCACAGACTGACACCTCACACAGTTCATAAACTTGGACCAAGTTCTCTTTCAATCTCAAATAGAGGAGATTCATTGTGGAATTTAATCAAACTCTGTCCTTGAAATGGGAGAGGGATGAGGAGGGACAGGGTGGATGGGTATGAAAGACTGCAGGACTTCCCCCAGGCACAAGAGCCAAAAAGCTGGAGAGCCCTGGATGAACAGTGTTTGTGCAGGTTTATGGCAGCAGCTTGGAGTGTCGATGCTTTCTGTGTGTGACTCTATTCCAACCCCGGAATCAGTCTCATGCCATAATTTTTACCCAAAACATCAGCAGACATCACCATTATTTCATTGCTCACTCATTTCTTTTTTTTAAGATTTTGGTTGCTGTTGTTGTTGCTACTTTTATCCATTATTCAAATTCATCATTCATCCTTTTTTTTTTCTTTTCTTTTTTTTGGCTGTGTTCTTTCATAGGTTCTCCAATGCCCTCCCCCTCCTGTCCATCACCTGTCATTGACCAATCACATCCACAATCAGCCAGTCCACATGGCAACCTGTTGTTAGGCGACGTGGCTGAGCCAGAGTCAGAGGAAGAGGAGGAGGAGGAGGAGGAAGAAGAGGAAGAGGAGTATGCAGCCAGATTGTACTTACCTGTAACGCATGGTAAATGCACTTCACTTTGCTTCATTAGCAACCTTTGTAGAGAATCTGCAATCTGGACTAGAATTTGACTGATTTATTGGGTGTCTCCCTTTTGTTAAAACAAACAAAGAGATAAATCTGCTACGTGACATTCTTATTGAATCATATAAAAGAAATGGTGAAATAGATATCTAAGAGAGTATAATCTTGAAAGTTCTGTGTGCAAAACCCACATCGGTCAAATCCTAGTCATTTGTAAAAGACTGGATATTATTATCCGTCTGCGTTTGGATATAACTGTCATGTCTAAGTGAGATCAGAGCGATCGGATTTATTTGGAAAGCACATTCTTCTGCACTTCCTCCCCCGTCTTGGGAACTTTTACGTCTCATTCAAAACATCCAGCTGCTGTTTGGCAGCTTGTGTGTTCACATGCTCTGAATATTCAAGTACCTGCTCATATTTTGCCATATTTCTTCTCAGCTAGGCGAATAGTAGAAGAATACAAGTGGTCTTTCGTTGAGTAGGTCACTAATTGATGTGCTGTAAGACAGACATAATCATAGGGGTCTACTGAATTCTTCCCAACTTCCACTCCACTATTTTCAGCCTCCTTAAGTTCCTTTCTGGCTTTTGTCTATCACAGAGTCCACCATATATGAGCTGTTGCTGTTTTTCATGGTGCTTGCTTATGATAAATGCTGAGATCGCTCACAGCTCTTGGCAAGCCACGCGGTATAGAGGTTTGAACTTCTGATGACTTCCAGTGCGCTGCCAATGGTTGTCCTCATGAGATCAGCCAACCATGGTGGGAATCAGACCACTTTCTCCATCTCTGTCATGGTCTCTCCCAGCCATTTATTGCTTGTTTGCTTTCCAACCTTTCTTTCCTTTCATGCCTGCTTCTGTGTCTTATCAATCAAAACCCTGGACTGTTATCTACTTTTGGAGAGCAACCGAGAGATATTAACAGAAAAGAGACCAATTAAGTTTGGGAGTTCAAGGGAAGGTCAGCAATCTGTGAATTAAAACAGGTAAATATAATCGTGACTGTTTGATTTTCAGTATCTGTCTGTTTGTACAGGAAGTGGGTCTAGACAAACTTGTCATTTGTCAAGGCATTTTGGAAGAGAAACTGCTTTTAAAAAATGTTTTGGCTTTCAGAGCCATAGTTAACAGTCTATTACAGCCACCCTAGGAAGTTTTGTTAGTTGCTGAACTATGAATCAAAGTTCTTAAAACACTGTTTTGATGGACTTTCTTAGCTCATGTTTCATATTTGGTACCCTCCAAGCACAAGAGGACCCTTGAGTGACATACGCATACATTGATAGGTTTTTTAAAATGGTGGTTGCCGGTGCTGCACTGGCTCATGTGTTCGACCAGTTAGCCATGTAAACAACAGACAATGCAAAATGCAAAAAAAAACCCTTATATGTTGCACAGAAGTGACATTGCTATATTAATTGCCGGCACCAGCCAGCTTTTGTAACTTAAGCATTCCTATTGGCAGAGAGAATGCAAGCAGCAAAATGCCCTTGAAAGTATGCATGCTGTACTAATGCACTGTTCATATGCATACATTGCTAGAGTAGTGCACCAGGATTTTTATATAACCCTTGTTATTGTGAAGGCTGCAATCACATGACCAATTTTGCTGACATAAGAAAAAAAAGAAGTAGTATAAGAGCCAAAATCTGCATAAGGAGGCAGGTTGAGGTGATGGATGTGTCAAACAAACATAGGACTTTCCCCTAGAACAGTGGTGTTTGTTTCCTGTGTAAAATCAAGTCAACTTAGTTATTTTTAGGTACGTACCTGTCACGTGACATTAAGTATGTAACATTACATTAAGTACATAATGTGACAACACTCAACCATGTTTCTATTCCTAAACCTATCAAAAATAGGAGACAATGCGCTCAACTTACAGAAACAAAAATCTGGGTGCTGAATTCCAAATAAAGTGCTGTTCCTCTCATCTTTTTTTTTAATTTTCCTAAACCTAACCTATTCAACTTTACTTTCCTAAACCTAACCTACATAACTTTATGAAATGTATGTAATGTGATGACACCCAACCATTTTTCTTTTTCTCATCCTAACCTACATAACTTTACTTACCTAAAATTTAGCCTATGTAATGTTAAGTAGTAAATTTACATAACACGCGATGTGACAACACCATTTGTGGTGCACTAATTTATAAGATATCATGTTGTATGTGCATTTCCCGAACTACAGAGGCCACAAATCATTTTGAAGGAGCTAAATGAACACTGATTTTTTTTCACGGCAATTTTACTAATTTCATTTATTTGTATTTAGTAAAAACTTTGATTGTAATTGTATTTATTAGCATGGACGTCGGCTTGGATTTCAGAACTGTCTTAAAATCTAGCCCCAGTTGTTGAAGCTTGGTTGTCATCTGATGGGGCTTGTTTTTATAGTGGTTGTAGATCTGGGAAGGATTGGACAGACGCATCTTGCCAGCATAGTTTTAAGTAGATGTTAAGCATGATAGAATCAAAGTCACATAAAGAAAGAAGTACTTTAGCAAAGGCTCCGCTGTGTTAGACAAATTCAAGTCCTACCGAAAGTATTACAGGCATGTTGAAATTTTGGCTAGATCAATATTTGGGCTAGCTCACTCTATATTAGTGCAGTGTGTAGACCATATTTTGCATTCTCACTTCAACAGTGGACAGACCAAGGTTAGACAGCTGCCATTTTTGATCACAGTCCAACCATAAGAGCTTATTTCACCAGGCCTGCTCCTGGTAGCTCTCCACATGGCAAATGTTACGGGATGCAAGTTGAGGATGAAACCCTAGTCTGTCTGTTTGAACCGCTTGGACCACAGGGGCTGAGTTTGGTTCAAATCAGAGTGCTGATCTGAGACCTGTTTGCCTGTGGTGGTTGACAAGCACCAGATGCAGAGTCGTGTTGGCTGGCCAATGACCCTAGATCAGCGTTCTTACAGTCAGGAGTTTGATAGGAAACAGACTTTGATGGTTTGAAGAAAGGAACTAAGACAACCACAATTAGAGTCAGACTACATCAGGAGAGGGGGCATGAAAGGGAGAAATGGAGTGGGAGGAGATTTCGAAGGAAGGAGAGTGAGAAAAAGAAAGACAGCTGCATGGAGTGATGGAAATAGAGAGACAGACAGACGTCTCCTCATATATACATTGCCATCTAAACATAATCAGAAACAGCTTTCAAAGAAGGTCTTGAAATGGCTAAAAGGTTGTGCATGTGTGAGTGTTTGTGGATATGCGTGTGGTCCTCTTTTCCCAAAGTACTCCCAGCCTGACCTAACCAACCAATGTTCAGCCAAACATCTAAAATATCACTCTCACCACTTCCTGCACTTTTTGGACACGCTTTTTTTCTTTATTTTCTCATATCACTTTGTATCCTTTCCTCCAGTTCTCTTTTCTTTGCTCCAGTGATTTTGCGGGAAGTCGAGCACTGAAGAAAAGTAAACGAGAGGCCTTTAGCTTATATTTTCTTGCACATAAAGACCTACACACAAATGCAGAAACCAATATTTTTTTTTTGAACTCCTTGTTTACAGGAGGACGGAAGCTGAGCAAGGGAGAAAAAAACAGAGAATGTGAGAACGAGGGAGAGAATCCAGGCTTTTCTTTTTCCCTTCTTCCCTCAGAACACATATTTTTATTGGCTGTTTACTGGGACAAGCCAGTGCCGTATGAAGCCTCACAGACAGTAGGAAATAGTACTTTTTTCAGTTCATAAATGCAGTTCCTGAAAGTCTGCCTCACTGTACTACATGGAAAAAGGGTATCAGGCTCGAAGCCACAGAACATAAAACCCAAAGAGGCATTCCACAGCAGGCTCATTCATACAAACTAGTGTGACAGTGATGCACAGGCAACATTTATGGCTGATAGAAGACATAGTTTACAAACCTAAATTGTGCTGGAACATCGAGTTTAGTTTTTTTTTTTACTCCATGGGCCCTATTTTTCAGGACAACGCATAGCAGATGTTATAGGTTGGTAATGCTGCACCAGGTGCACAGTATTGCACCTTGCCTGTGCCTAGGTGTTTCTGTGAATCTGGCTGCCCTGACCGCAGAGAGAGGGAACTGTTGTAAGTCAGGAACAAACGGCACAGTGTAATTTTGATGTCAAGAATGACCAGGAATCGCTTGTGCCACCCGCCTGCACCAGGTCAGAGGCTGATGGTGAAAGGCACAACCATGCGTGACATTGATTGCAGGAGCAGGTTGACACTAAAAATCACATAAATCAAGTGGAGTGGTTTTGTTTGCAGAAGTGAGGAGGCACGTCAAAACCTACCTCAAAAAATAAATAAAGTCGATCTCATAGCTCTAGAGATATTTCTCCACTTTTCATGACTTCAGTACTGTCCTTTCCATAGACTGTATAAAATAATGACATCACCCACTGGTTTCTGAACTCCCATTTCAAAGCCAAGTTCAGCATTTTGGCCTTCACCATCTTGTTTTTTTTTTTGTTTTTTTTTTTTGGGTGAGAGGTTGAAGACTCATAGACTATAGCGACGCCTGCCTCACAGAGCAGCCCAGTCTTTAAATATACATAACTTCTGGAGCCAGCCCCAAGTGGTCATTAGAGGAACTGCAGTTTTTGGCACTTCCATGTAGGCTTTATATTTTTTAATGCTGGTGGTTGGAGCTTGATCCTTTTGAATCATAATCCAAAAAACACTGGATTGGTGTGCAGCAGCGTCATGTGTTTTTCTGTGCTCATTGGTGGACTGGTTGGCTGAGACGACACATTTTAAACCACAATAGAAAACAGTATAGTAGGTTTATTACTATTGTTGTAGAAGCTGCAAACAAAGAACACAATGCACTTTAATTCTGTGTTAATAATGTTGATGAGAGATAATTGCAGTAAATACTTTATAGATTCATAGTACTGTATGAACAGAATCACAGTATAATATGAAGTTGTTGGCAGGGATGTGCACATTTTGAGGGCCAATGCTAACGCTGTATTGTCCCCATG